CAAATCTACAAAAAATGATGAAATGAAGTTGGCATGAAATGCCAGCAATGAGGCTACAATTTAACAGCAAATGAAGTTGCAATCTAGCAGCAAATATGGCAGTAATTTGTGTGTGTGTGTGTGTGTGTGTGAGAGAGATAATACACAATAATTTAAAAAGTTTTCAAAGAAATACCTCATTATTTTTGGCATAACCTGTTGAAATTATTGTTAGAAACATGGCATTCAAATCTACAAAAAATGATGAAATGAAGTTGGCATGAAATGCCAGCAATGAGGCTACAATTTAACAGCAAATGAAGTTGCAATCTAGCAGCAAATGAAGTTGCAATCTAGCAGCAAATATGGCAGTAATTTGTGTGTGTGTGTATGTGTGTGAGTGAGATAATACACAATAATTTTAAAAGTTTTCAAAGAAATACCTCATTATTTTTGGCATAATCTGTTGAAATTATTGTTAGAAACATGGCATTCAAATCTGCAAAAAATGATAAAATGAAGTTGGCATGAAATGCCAACAATGAGGCTACAATTTAACAGCAAATGAAGTTGCAATCTAGCAACAAATATGGCAGTAATTTAATTTAGTTACAAATATGATAAAAATGGAGTTGTAAAATGACAACAAAAATGTGCAGCAAGTTAAGCTACAAATGTTGATGAAATAAGGTTGCAAGGGGCAACAAATGAAATGCAAATGCATCAGATATGAAAGCTGCAATAGTGGCCACAGAGTAACAGCAAGCATGCAGGAAAAAGTGGTTATTACTTGTCAAATATAAATGTACTTTTATTGTTTTTGAATATAAAATAATTACTTAGATTTAAATTTTGAATTAAATTTATATTTTCTTATAAATAAAATAGATTATAATGAAAAAATTTGAGTTGAAGTCATATACTACTCTCCATTTTAGTTTATACTTTACTCTTCATCTTCCTCCCGATCTGCTCTCTCCATTTCTTTGTGAAGAAAACCAACATAACCTAAAGATAATTCAAGGGATTTTATATAAATTTATTGAAATTTAGTATAAATAAAGATACAATATTAGCATTTCTTTTAAGGATATAATCCTTTTTCTTTACTAAGAAAAGTTATCACATTTAATAAATTTTTTATTTAAAAATATAACATTTCCAATCTTACCAAAAAATAATTAAGTAGATGTGCATAATTATATACTTAATTAAAAAGTTTTGAAAAATAATAGTCTTTATTAGTGAAATTATAGAGGAAATATCGTTAATTAAAAACATTTTTGAAAGCTAATAGCCTTAATTTAATTAAAAATTTTTTGAAAAGTTGTGTCTATATGCA